GTTGGCCCGATGCGCTATAGCCTTGTTTTGAACTCATTTCGCAACGCAACAAACAAAAATGTGCGCATCAATAGCTTATGTCATGTCGTCCTCTCTTTTGTGTGTAGCAAAACCTTTCACTTTTTCAACGCACCAGATTCCGTGCAGATAAATATTCTTTTCCTTCACTTATGTTTCAATTCCTCCTATTATTTTAACTGCTAACAAGCAAAAAGCGTCCAAAATTTTCAATTGTATCTTTTTAAAATTGCTAATTTGTCAATTAACTTTAAGTAAATATATAAAATTGGTTCATTATGAGGGTATGCAACCTTGTATGTATCTGATAATTTGGAGATTATACTGTAAAGTTGGCACGAGGTTAGAGGTTAAGAGACGGCGTACACATCATCAAAACAAACGTCGTCACGACATGCGATTTACAGAAATATATTATTATTGAATGATGAGAAGCTGCATAGTACATATGAAATGAAATTGGACACAAGTGAATATTCCTGTACCAATGGTGCATGTAGTCTCCATCCACTCCAGAAAATTGAAAAACGTAATGACAGCTCCAGTGTACAATTTAACAAAACGTTGTTATAATAATAATCGTGTTGAAAAGACCTCCGGTGACCGGATGCAAAAACTTAAAATTATAAACTTCCCCAACAAAACATGAAAGCTCATTTCCAGTTGACTAAAGCCATGTAGATGGATTATTTGGACATTATTTAACACAATTCCGCCTACTCTCTCCTCTAGTCTCCCACCCCATGCCACACACATGCATAAATGCTGGAATGGGATGAAGTACACACTTCCCAAATCAATTGAATCCACGTCAGCATAAAAAAAACTGTTACTCTCTCGCTGTATTCATCTGTAGCTACACTTTCAAGCTATTAATCAAGTCAGAATTTAACTCGCGAATGCGAATACCACACACATACAAACAACTTTTGTCTAAACTTTCATAATATTGAGTCATATTCCTCTCCTGCCTACTCTTTTGATACAATTGCTGATACCACGTGACACGTATGCATGTTGTAGGTCTTATCATTTTTGTGCTAATGAGAAAGCAAAATTCGCATCCAGACATGCCTACGTGAATCGGAATCTGTGAGAATGGTGTGAGTAAAGAGCGTTAAAAAAATAAATTTTTACTTTTATGCATCAGCGCCACTGCTGCTGCTGCTAGTCAAGGAAAAGAGTGCATGTGCCCATTCATGCCTGTGGATGTATGAATGAAATTAACGAGTATTTAGGTATTGGTAGGAAAACCAGCCCTTGAAAAATGAGATACACACAAGAGCCAGCAAGGCATATATGTATGAAAACAATGATAACAAAGGAAACTGCGTATTAGATGAGTTGTTTGTTGGACGTTCCAACAACTACTTCTTCCAACCAACAAACTACCTTTTCAACAAACTCGTTTTTGGATTGCATTCACTGAATACTACTGAATTTATCTGGCAGTGTATCACAAATAAGTTAGTACATGGTTTTGCCGTCCGTGAAACTGATTTCAGCCATTCAAATATTACGGAATTCTCACCACTTGAATTTACACAATAAAGCTGCTTCCCTCCCGAAAACACAAATGAACGAGCATTGCATTACAGACGTATGCATTTTATAAATACCAGCACATCATTCTCACATGACATTATTCATGAAATCTGTCTGAGCGCATGCATTCCATAACACCCAATCAATCAACATAGCCAAGTTATTAGAATTCGAAACTATTAGTGTAAAGTTATGCGTGCATATGTAAAACTACTAATCCTTAAGGCGGATGAGATCCCAGACCATCATCATTGTCAGGAAACTTCTCAATTCTCAACCAAATTTCACCTCGAACTTGAAGAATTTTGATTGACATGACGAACTATAATTCAAGAAGGTTTCAACAAAATGTGAGCGAATAGTATATTCAGTGTGTGCATGATGAGAGAGAGCATGACAAGAGCAAGAAAAAGAGAGGAACCCCCACCATCACAACACAACGCCGACTGTGTGGTTATGATGGATTGACAAGTGATGATGAGACTTTGAAAATAATCGTATGTTATGCATATGCAATCATTATTATAAAGCCACAAACGAACGAATGCGTGAAAATCCAAAGCAATTTCCATCACATGCACACATTCCGTTCGAATAAACTCCAGCAACGGGTATAACAAAGTGACGGAAGCCAAGTCCTTAGAATTCTGCATTGCATAATATGTATCAGATTTTCGATATGCATCATGTGCTTGAAATTTTACGCCCACACCATTCGGTATTTTTGACTTTTGACCTCGTCTAAATGATCTCCAGGCAGACGTACGTCGAAATGATAGTGATTTCTGAAATCCTCATCCTAAATAACGTCCAAACCCGTCAAAATAAAACAATACTAAAAAAATGATTCGTTCTAAAGTTATCGTTATCGTGCTGACAGACTGACGGACAAATCGATCGCAATAAGTTGCATCACTCCTTTCCGTTACATAATAACAAAATCAGTCATATTATATTTGTAACAACAACTTCAGCTCAACTTTACTGACGTATGTAAGTACATTGCTCACCCACAATTAACCAATTTAAATAATTCCAGGCATAAAATTAAAATCTTGAAAATGCTCAAGTAGTCTAACACGGAGCAAAGTATGCTCCAGCATTTTAACGATAACAAACGCGCATACACAAATTTGATGTTTCCTAAAAAAACTAGCATTAGGATTATATTTTATTCTCCCTTATAACGTAATGCCTCGAAAATGAGCACAATTCCCTGAGCAGTATTTACAAAGTCACAACAACATGCATTCAATGATTCATTGCACTAACATGACAAACGAAGCGAATCCACTCTAAAACTGTCCGGGTTTTTAGATGGATGGGATGATACAACAATTCACTTTACCAAATGCAAAACCATTTTAGGCTCAGAGGATACTACACCTGGTTTTAATAAATAAATTCATCCATCTCTCCCAACCGACGAGATTGTACATACATGCTTACAAGGAGGTCTTTTAACTGAAACATGTTCACTCCTATAAGTAAAGACACCCACACACACGGTGAATAAAGTTACTCGTTTTACATAGATGAAGAATGTAAAATCCAGAATGTGTAGGTAGATTGGGTAGGCACACACTTAATTCTCATCATAAAATGTATAAGCTTTTCTCATTTAATTTTGGAAGAAAACCACCCAATGTAACTAACAACCGATACATGAGAAACTTTTTTTTTTGGCCGGATATCAACATTATTGCACGAGAGCAATCAAAACGTGTGTTGTATTGATTTAGGTGATACATCGCCCGAAACTGTTAGTCTTGGCATTGAACAAATCTCCACGGACGATATAGGAGACAACTAAATAAAGATCTATCTGAATTCTGAACCCAAATATACGTACAAAGACATGCACACATGCAACCATACCGTAATGTCACCCAGAACGATGTTAAGATGGTATCTTTTCTATCTTGGAAAAACTAACTTAAGTGGTCCATGAATCTATGAGTCCAAACAATCCCCCACCCATAGATACTCATGCATGGCTTGGCTTCAAGTATTAATGATAGCAGCACCAAGTTCCTTCCCTCTTCCCCATCACAACTAATACCAAGACCAACATTTCACCCAAAGAAACCCCCCTTTTCTATTTTTAAGCACTTGCTACACCGTAACACTCATTTGGTAAATAATCATTGTTTTCCTCCAACAGTAAAGTGCATTATCTAATCCAGCAAAAGGGTTGTTGGTATTTTCATTTTTTGTTTAGATTTCAACAAGATTTCTCTTAAGCTGAAATTCTAAAAATAAGTGAATGAATAATGACGATATTATTTTCAAAAGCCCAACGCAGTAAGGGAACACTTGTTAAGTGTGTGTGATGAAGTATAATGATAAGGTTCTCCCTGTCCAGTAGTACATATTACGCAAATGTGAGACGAAACAAATGAACGGTGTCGTTCCTGCTGCTGTATGTATAATAAAGTAAATAAATTCTTTCATCAAAATTGTAGAACGCAAGTCATTTCCCCTGATTTTGAGCTTGATGTATATTATTATTATTTAAGCTGTTGTGGGTCTTGTATGTGTGGTGTTATTTGTGTTGTTCGAGTTGGACAGCTATCGTGTTGGCGATGAGTGAACAACATCAGTACATACACATCCAACTTTTGTCTCCTTATTTTATGATTATTCATGGGTAGGTAGCTTTATAGAAAATGTAAATGTTTTCTGCTGTGTCATCATTTCAGTACAATTTTATTGGGGGTTAGAAGAACTACGATCAAGTTGCAAATAAGTATAGTGTATGTGTTTATAAAAATTGGCTAGATTTTCATGCACATGCACATGATCTTATAAACTCAACTAACTTGCTAGCCAAATATCTGAAAAGGTTTAACCTCTCATTTCATTTAAAATATGATGGCCCTCCTCTCTACAACTGAACCACGTCATATCAAACGCAAACCACGTTCGTGTCATACAACCAAGTTTTTCAATTAGACGTTCATCGCCTTACGTAACTTGACGCATTCCAATCTCATGGAATTTGTTGAGCAAACTTTAAAACAAAAGTAAAGATAAGAATTCGTAGGAAAATCCCGTGAAGAAACTAAACAACAAGTAGAAATCAGTGACAGGTAAAGCTTTCAGCGGCATATAATACCACATTGTGCAAACCATTATGTATTATGTACGTCTGTGTAAGTAAAGGGAAGGGAATGTCTTTTCCTGACTACGCAGTGAATGCAAAATCGAAATTAAACAGCTTTGGAATACCGACAAATGGACTTGAATAGAAAGACAATAAGACACTTCCCCTCATTAAAAAGTATGACGCCTGATGCTGCTACAGAGTCACGTGTTTGTTCAAGATTGCTCAATTTTGCATAGTACTTGCTTAGCACACTAAAATGAACCCCTCTGTCCTGTAGGAGTAGGATGCAATAAATATCTATAAAAGTAATGATGATATGTATACATACCTGCGACAGAAACGGTGATAACGGGACTGAAGACGACGCCAATCGCAGACTTGACAACGCACCGATATTCACCCTCGTCCGTGTAGTTTTTACCATGTCGGGGATACACACTGGAATCTAAAACACTTCTGGAGATGCCGATTTTATGAATAATTTTCTCAAAATGGAGATCCCCATCCTCTGTGATCTGGATTCTGGACGGTGGCATTTGTACATCAGCAGTGGTTGTAGGATTTTGAGGATTCAAGTCAAGTTTGGATCCATCCTGAGATAATCGACGTATGTAAGCATGACATGTCTCGATAAATATGGATATGCCATTACAGCTAAACTAAAATCTTCTTCTTACCTTTGCCCACCATAAATCGAGGACGCGAACGTCTCTCGAGATGATGATAGGACAGTGGAGTGTGAGTGGATGATTTTTTATAGCTAAGACATTTCTGGAGGTAAGGGGGAGTGCTTCCGGTACGGTGATACCTCCGTCGTCTATTGATTTGGCAGCTGGAAAACATAGAAATAAAAATAATTCAGTTATTAAACACATCTCTATCTCTTTAGGTAGTACAAAGTAGTAAAACTCGCATAAATCAACAACAATTAATGAACAAATCGTTAACACCACACCACGAAACAACATACGTTATTGGTTCGGCCATATCCTTTTAGAAACATACATACATTCAAACATACATACCATAACATACATAATCTCTCTCCTCAACAACATGATCAGCAAAATAGAGACGTTCAATATGTGCTTGCTCTTCTTCTTCTCTGGGGGTTGGCGAACCCACGGAGGAAAGAATGTAAAATGTGTGCAGTTGGTTGGTTAAATAGAAAAAAGTGATCCAGATTCGTTCGCCCGTTTGTTAGTTTCCCGTGTGATTTATTTCAGCAATTATAACACCATTCGTTCTCATTTATTGCCTTCGGTTGACACTTTATATATATACGTCTCAAATTCAATCAGCCAAAGCTAAACATGAGATTGCGATGAATTGCAATTATCTAGGGCGTATAAAAATGCGCTCTAAATACAATATTCTAAATTTAAATTAACTTACTTGATCAACATCCATCACATACAAGGAGTAATAAAGTGAAACTTAATATATGGATCCCTCTCTATCTATCTCTATCTCTCTGTCATGATATTATTGATGACAAACTGAAACAAACTCTTTGCGCGGAGATATATATGCAACTGGATTTCTCAAGGAGGAAGACGAGCAAATTCTTGGTCTTCTAATCCCACCAGGAGGATGAAGAAAAACATATTTCGATGATCAACATGCGATGCAGGACTGTTATTTGTTGCATGGGTGCTCGCTCTGCAACATATTGAAGACGCAAGAACGTGCAGCTGTATGTAAACAAGCTGCTTTGATTTATGGGTTGGGCAATTCTTGACAAATTGTGATAAAGTGAATGCAAACAGTCAAATTACTAACTCATCTACATTCGCTTCTTCGTCTTCTTCTTATAACGTATAAAAGAATAATAATATGGTTATAAGATTTATTCCACTCTATTCCAAATTCAGAAAAATCAGAATAAGAATTTCTTCATCGTAACCCTTGAAAGATGTGTAGGAGAAACACCAACGGACCGATACATGCATACCTAAACGTATCGGAGAGACATAACAAAATAACACGAGTTGTGCAGGCAGCAGGAGCAGCTATCAAATCTCAACTCCTCCGGAAGGAATGAGAAGAAAGCAGTATAATAACGGACATAAGGAAGACTTTGACTGAGGATGAGCAGCAGCAGTCGAGTGAATTCAAAGGAGGAGAGGAGAAACATGAGTGAATAAGCTATGCGGTAAAACCGCTGAAAACTCTATTTTTTCAATAATATATTATGGGCAAATTAGAAAGAGAGAAAAAGTACAAAACAAGATGCAGTACCCATTATTTGAAACTAATATTTCGGGGAGAAAATAGGAGCATATCAGAGGGCCGGAATTTGCCAAATTCGCATTCGCCATCTGTACCAGTCGTCGGGCAAAGTGACCTCTCATTTGCTCCTATTTTCTCCCCGAAATATTAGTTTCAAATAATGGGTACTGCATCTTGTTTTGTACTTTTTCTCTCTTTCTAATTTGCCCATAATATATTATTGAAAAAATAGAGTTTTCAGCGGTTTTACCGCATAGCTTATTTAATTCTTTTCATCTTATCTGATTTATGCCAGCCTTGTGTATGCCAAAAATTAAATTAAAGTTATTATTGTCAACGTCGTTAGGTTGACTGTTCCAAATTTCACCAGTACGATGTAACTTTTTAACATATCTATTTTTATCAACCTTTCTGCGCTTTTGTAGTTTTTTCGGCATTTTTCACACGATTCAGATATGTTAAGCTCGGATTTTATTTCCGTATAAATTTGTAATCACATGTGAAATTCAACTCGTAGACTGGGCGGACTGAATTTCGCGCGCCAGTGGGTACCGTGAGACTTGGCTTTATTTACAGTTAAAAATATAAGAAAAGTATAAATCCCTAACACCACATAATATATAATCAATTAGTATAAAGTAACTTAGAAGTAAAGATAAAGGAAATACAATTAATATAGTACATATGTATGTATGTATGTATGTCTTTATTAATATAGTACATATAATGGTCATGTTCACTTTTGACTTTCATGGTTTAGAAATGGTCCAGAATTCATGTATATCTCACATATAAAATTGTGAAGCATAAATTTTTGCACAACACTCATGATCCTATCCATATTAGATTATACCATCTAAGGTAGTACACGTAACCTTATGAAAAATTAAAATTTCAAACCGTTTAAAAAATCGCGCCATAACTCAGAAACCATGACCGAATTCAAAAAAGTATGTCCTCTGAGGGTCATAAGTTGGACCCTCTCCTACATAATTTTCTTAAGGTCCAAGTCTCTAAAACGTAACGCTTTGGCTGTAGGTCCGCGAACAAATTGACACTTTTAATCACGAAAAATCACACAAATTCGAACTTTGCTCCAAACTGAAGCCTTAATCAAAAAAAAGTTTCAAACTAACGTTGTAGCTGAAGTACTTCTGGACATATTTGTAATTGCATGTATGTCTCTATCATGCACCCAACCCATTTGGGGTAGCTTTTAAGATTTTTGGCGCGAAAAAACGTATTAACGTTGATATCTTTGGTATGGTTCGAGATACTGTAATTCTGAGAAATGTCATTTTAAAGCTCGGTGAGATGTATCCAACGCCGCTTAGTTGAAACCTGTAGGTCAAAACGTTTCGCCATACGAGCGCCCGACATTCTCCATAAGAATTAGGAACAACATACTATATGTTTCTCATATAGCGCGAACTGCCTCACAATGCCCCACATTGCAAGACAGTTGCACTTCATGGGGAAAAAATAGAAAAACGGGCAGCAATGGCGATGATTTCTTCGCACTTCTTCCTCTTCTCATGTGGATGGATGGATGAGATTCCAGTGTGCGATCATGTTAGGTCATCCATGTAAAAGTGAAGATGTCGAAGAATAAAAAGTTTGCTTGCTCCTTCAGAAGGAGGAACAATGCCGATGATTTTCCTTGAGTATGTTGGAACGAAATGGAACTAAATATAAAGACCCATTTTGAGATAAATTCATAACTACTTTGGTGTTAAAGGTATGGTTTTTGACGGAAAGATGGATGATATGACGAAGCTCGATACGTGGTTCCTTAACGATATAACATATATATCAAACCTTTCTGCTGGAAGTCATAACCTCTAAAAAGAGTATGATGATAAAAAGTGAACGCCCATTCTTCACTTTACTCTGGATTTCAACATGCACACAGAGTTTCCGCAAATCTCACAGCACGAATTTAACAATACTTTGCAATAAAATATCGTCATAAAAATACAATAAACCAACGATTTATTTTTTATTTCCCTCACCACCACGTAGGGATTAGGTAAGAAGAAAGGAATTTGGAAATACACATCGCTTAGCGTTTTCCGCCAATATGGAAACAACAACTTACCACTACTGCAAGGAACGAAAGTTGCGTTTTAAGCTCTTAATGTGAAAATATATAACGGTTGGTTCAAGTATAAGGAAAACCGAATAACAACAGCAAACGAACATATTCCTTCGATGAGGGTTCGTTGCAGCACCATGTAAAATGTCGAAATTCAAGATTTACAGATTTTAACATAACACTGCATCGGCCAAGTTGTCTGTCATGAGGAGCGAATGATGTAATGGAATATGAATAAAATCATTCCTATGTATGTACCACTGATGGATGATGACTTTACGCAAACTGAATAACATCATCATATACATGCACACCAACCAAGATTATCTCATTGTCAAAAATGTGAGAATAAAACCTTGAAAAATTTTACGCAATTCGCATAGGCAAACTAATAAAATATTTGCAGTGTCGTTTTTTTAATACAAACTTTTGCACAAGGTTAAAAATCAAAATTTGTCAATGAATATTTCATGCGATGGTGGTGCGCGAGGATTACTTTAAATCCTTAAATGCTGAATGTTCAAGTCAGAAGCTTACTCAAATGGATTAAATATATGCAATGGTACATACATTGGGCACCTCTTACTCAAAAAGAACTTGATGATGCTTTATAATTTTCTAGGAAAAGATTTATGGATAACTATCATCGAGCAACAAAAATACATATCTGTCACAAGACTAAAAAGTAAGTAATACCAACGTATCTAACTTACTAACAAGTACTTGTGTCATCGTCATCGTCGTCGTATTCAACGCATATAATACAATACACACTTCTTGCTATAATATGGTTTAAAGATAAATGGACTTGGACATCGAAAACTGGCTGGTGCATGCTGTGGTGTGTTAATGGCAATCTGCAGAAAACTACAAATAGGGGTTAACGAATTATGGGGAGATGACAATGCTCTACAACACTACCCTAACCAACCGTAAGAAGGCAAGTCAGTCCCGTACACCGGTCGTCGTCGTCGTCGTCGTCCTCGTACAGGCAAGAAGAAGGGGCGACGTTGCCAATAAAAGTTTGGCTCAAATTCTGACAACCAAAGTATTAACAGTGATTGCTATCAGTGACTAAATGACGACGGTCTATTTGAAACGATCGTTATGAATTCTAAACTTGTGATTTTTGTCAAGATAAGGCTCCTCCTTTGAGTATTACATAATCAAGATGAATAATTCTGAGAGAGTGTTAATGATTCCGAAACAATGAAATATATAAGTTTTGCCTATTTGCGTATATACGAATCATGAGGTACATCAAGAAACTAAAACATGGCGTCGGCTCACTCACTGACGACATTTTTAAAGGCATGACAATCAAGTTGAACGGACAGTGTACATACTTTAACAAACTATAATATGTATGTGAGTAATAGCGTTACTTCAATCAAGACATCCTCATGAAAAACAATTCCATTATTTGATTTCATTCAAGTTCTCACGGACCAGAGTGAGTAATAATAATGCATTTTATGACAACTACGACTAAAAACACTAACCAA